GGGTGGGGAAACCAGTGGGTCTTTCTCCCTGGTATTGGCATGTGATCAATAGGAAGTTTTAGAGTAAATGAATTAATACATATTACTCTTATATTTAGGAACTGGGGGAAGTGGGGGTGACGGAGTTATTAGAAATAAATAAAATTATCAGGCTTCACTAGAAAGAAAGATGGGGTCACAGAGAATAAGGGATGACACATCCCACAAGCTGCACTGTGCTGTGGATTGCAAAACCATGTTCTGAAGGGTATAAAGAAATAAAAGACCAGAGGAAAACTCCTTGAGGCTTATTGTAAGTCAATATTTACATGGCATAAGCCTTGTGTTGGCAAACCCACAAAGAAACCTAAACAAAAGAGCTGAACCCCATGTTCTAACTGGAATATCAAAGAGAATGATGGAACAAAACACAAAAGTCCTGTGTCTAGGAGCCACTGAGCAAGTGTCCAGAGGGCAAGGGAAAGCAGTCAACAGAGGCACCATTTGCAGCCTGGACTGCCTGTTCCCAGGGGACAGAAACCAGATTTCACCATGAAGACTTGAGGACTTGAGGGTGTGGTCTCCATGCTGAGAGAGAAGAGGAGTCTGGTGAATATAGGTCACACACACACACACACACACACACACACACACACACACACACACCAGAACTGAGGCCTGTGATGAGCTATTTGAAGTTGATTGCCTCTGTTCTCTTTTCCTGCTTAACTTGTCAAGACTTTGGGATCACATCCCAGCTTCTAGGATACCTCTGCTATGCCCTGTCTAACCAGCTGGTCCTCTATAAACAGCTAGCCTACTGAGAAGGCAGCAAGCAGCTTCTCTACAAGGAGATAAGAGGACTATACAGAGTCTGCCAGAAAAGGACATCTGAGAAACCAGGAGACCTGGAGGCCACCTCTTCAGTGACAAGAGCAAGAAAAGAATTCAGTGCTGATCAGAGTAGCTTCTCTCTAATGCTGGCACTCAGGCAGGCTACAGGTGTCAGAGAATGCCCTCCTGTAGAAGGAAAGCTCTTCATGTCCAGCTATCATTCTGGCTAGTTTCCATACTTTAGTTGGACTTTCTAACAATGTCTTTGCTATTGACATGTTCCATGGGAAATAATTCTAGAAGGAGAAACTCACTTCAGTAAGTCCTTTCTTGGCTGGGCATTAGCCAATGGCAAGAACAGCCAGGAAGCATGACCCAGAGTGACTCTGCTATGGAGGGGTTCTTCCTTAACCAGTCCATTTAACACAAGCCAGGTACTGTTTCAATCCTGGGATACACAGCGAAAACCAATTCCTGCCATGTAAATTGAAGATTTTATCCCAGTGAGGGAGGATTATGAAACAAATGAACAAATATTAATCATGTTTGAAAGGGTTTACATCCTGGAGAGATAAATGAAGATCAGAGGGACAGGGAGGGCTAGAGAAGATGAAGAAAGCTACCAAATGTTAAACAGAATGACCAGGAGGGGAATTACAGAGGTGATCATTAAACAAAAACCCGAAGAAAAACAAACAAAAAGTATACAAGTAACCAAGCCATGCAGAGAATCCTAAACAGAGAACAGAATGTGCCAGGGCCCTGACGCAGGGGCATGCCCATGGTGTTTGAGGAGGCTGGTGATGCTGGAGTAGAATGGGTGTGGAAGAAGGTTCTAGAAAACAAGGACAAAGGTAATTAAGAGAACATTGTGCATTGTGAATAAGTATAAAGTGTTTAGCTTTTACTTTGAGAAGGGAAGAGTGGGGAAGGGTTGGGGGGGACTCACTCTGACAGATATCAGCATGTCTGTCAAGGAACAGATATGCAAGCTTAGCGGTGGGTTTGAGCAGGAAGGGTTCTTTTTGATTAAGTGGAGGAGTGGAGGTCATGAGAAGTGGTCCAGCTGTACATGGAGAATGCACAGTTGCCCTGGGGTATGTGATGGAATGAGATGGTAATGTGTCTTGGTGATGTCACAGTTTTGGGAGCACGTCCTATGAGCCCTGGCCCTCTCCAGATAGTCTCTTGGGGGTGGCCACCTACTCTTTCAGGTCTGAAGTCCCCTCATTTAACATGGGAAGAACTGATGAGCGATGCCGTGACTGTAGTGAAGCTCTGTGATCTGCAATCCATGTTTGGTGTGCGGAAATGACTTTTCTAAGAAGTGCTGTGATGCTTGCCTTTACAAACCAAACTTTCCCCTCACCTGTAACCATGGTAATAATGTGCTTTGTGATAATTTAGAACTATGTACTCATTCTGCTTACATACTGCATACCCAGCCTTCAGAGACTGACTTCTAAGAAAAAACAACCCAATCCATCTTACTGTACTTTGGACTCCCAGGGTGCCATGCTACCTATTTCTCCTTCAAGGCTCAGTCATTACCCGCCCTGCCTCGGAACAACAAATGTGCATGTAAGATGTGGTTACTAGACTGAAGACCATTTGCTAAAAGCAACAAGGCTTTTGAAGGCAATGCCCCAACAAAAAGGATGAAAAGTGCATGCAGGTCCCGACTAATGTCTGGCTGTGGCTTCGTGTGCTGCTCTGAGTCAGCAGGGCCTTAACAACAATTTCCTCCCTTTGAGACTCCTAGAAAAGATTGATCAAGGGCAGGAGCTCTTCGTTCCTTTTTGATTTGGTATTTGTTATGTTGTTCAGTAAACAGAGAGGGCGGCCATTGTGTCGGAAACTCTGAACTCTTCAGTCTCAAGTAAATGACATGAAGGATTGGTTTCCCTTATTTTACTATGTGACACTGCCACACTGGTCCAATGAGTTGTCATCACAGCTAACACTGTTCTCCGCATAAGCCCATAGTGCTCCCCAAGTCCCCAGGATGAAAATTCAGTTTCCTCCTCAGAATGGTGAGTATGGGGACAGAGTACAGCAGCTCAGCCTGGCAAGTCTTATCCATGCTGGTAGAATGCACCCGTGAGAGCACAGAGAGAAGCATGAGACAGAGCAGATGCAAAGTTAGGTAATACCCATGACCCCTGCCCTTCACGGGGAAAATATCTCAGCAGTCTCTTTATCTTGCAGTCCAGGGCTTAATAAAGGTCATGGTGAAGACATCCCAGGGGAAACAGCACAGGATCAAGCCTTCATATGTTATAAATAAATAAATAAATAAATAAATAAACAAACAAACAAATAAATAAATCCTTCTTGGCACAGATGCCATTATAAAAGCTTGTGTTTAGGACTTGGGAAACAACCAACGGAGTCATAGAGCTTTCTGTGCACTGGTGAAGCTGTTAATGACAGCCTCGGCAGAGACACTCCTATTCTGGTGGCTTCTTTCTCCATGTCCCTCCTGGTAGACCACAGGACCCAAGTCCCCAGATGGAATCCTGACCTCAGAGGAGCCAGGTGAAGTTTCTTTCTCCAGTGTTAACAATGGGGCTGCAGAGACTGAGCTAGGCAGGAGAGGCACAGCAAAGTTGGTGGGCATAAGAATAAATGTGGGACAAGTGTGGGCATGAGGGAATGCTGGCTAGACAGGAACAAGGCAGGTGTGCAAAGAAAAGTCCATGGGTGAAGGCATGGTCCTACAGAAAGTGATAGAATTCCATTTCCCTGTGGGCCCCATGGCAGTCCTGTCCTTAGCGCATCTACCCAGCAACCCTTTTTGCTACTTAACATCATTGTATGTCATTTCTATTCTGTATCAAAGCAATCTTTGGAATGACTTATTAAGAGTGATGGTTCAGCTGTTAAGAGGGCATCTCTCTTTGCAGAGGTTTGCAGTGTGGATCTAGCCTGTAGCTATGGCTCCAGGAGATCTGACAATTTTCTGGTCTCCACAAGCACCAAATGCATGTACATGCACACACACACACACACACACATACACACACACACGCATGCACGCACGCACACATGCACGTGTGTGCGCGTGCATGCTCACATGCACATGCATGCACACAGAAATAATAAAAATGAACTTTTAAAAAGATTTTATAGTAACATGGAATAACTAAGTTATAAAACATAAAATTTCATACATTCTACATTTACCTTCAGAAAAAAAATTTTATGTACACACAATCCCAGCTGGAGCAAAGAAGCACTAAAATAACTTTTTTTTTTTCAATTGTATGTAAAATTATTTTGGTATTCTTATAATTTCTGAAAGAAACTTTTGGGAAATCAAATCAATACTTAACCATGAACACTCCCACAAATGAGTTCTAAAATAAGAGATGACATCAATAATTAATTCCCTGTTTATATTTTCCTGGAGTCAACACAAGTAGTTCATTTTTCTAAAATGTCAGAAAATGGCTTTTTGTGAACTTACCCATTTGAGTTACTTTATATTTTTATAAAATGAAAAAAAATTATAAATTCACATCTGTTTGTCTCATATATATGTATACATATACATATACATTCATACATACATTATCATCAGGTTTTTGTTGTTTGTTTCGCTTGTTTGTCTTTTTGTGGTCAGGCTGTTGCCCAAGAGTGGAAATATTACTAGGATGCCCAGGGCCTCAAACACTTTGTATACCCTAGAAAAGGCTAAATTTGGAATTTACCACTTATCCGTAAGGCCCACAGAGGACCCCCCAGGGGGCAGCTATCCTTCTGTACTGACCAGCCTTGTTGTATATCTTGTCCTTAGACTTAATCCATAACAGGCATGCCCATGGCACAGTAAGAGTTAAGGCTACCAGGAACTCAAATCAGCTAGCCAACCTCTTCATCTCAGAGACAATACTTTAGTCAAAATGGAGAAGGCCCTACTTTGGGATGTTATGCTCCTTTGCTGGCCAAGGCAAAGTACTCACTATGTTTCTATTTGATCTAGAGCTGGCTGGCTCTTTGAGGTGAGCTAGGAGGATGGTGAGATACCCAGAAGCCTCTTTCCCCAACACTCAGTAGAGGACCTGGCCATGCCAGTGGCTTCTCTGATCCTCTTCCTTGAACACTGCACAAGAGAGATGGTACCTGGAGCCCTTTCCCTCCTCCTTCTAAGAGGCTTGCTCAGAAATGGTTGTTGGAGTCCTTACCTCCAGAGGGTGTGCCAGCAACTCTCCTGAGGAACTTAACCCACTCCTCCATCTCTACCTGGGAGCTGGCCATGAGGATGTAGGAGTCTTGTCCCATGCGGTTCTGGTCACATGAGGCTGGAGGAAAGAGTAGCACATGGTGAGGTTGTAGAGTGGGAGGAGCCAGAGCCAGGGGAAATGGAAGCCCTGAGAGTCAAGTAAAAGTGTTGTCTAACCTTGCTTGCTTAGTGGCCCTGGATCTTAGTCCACTCTTATGGCTTTAGCCAGTGGCAAATTTCTATTACTGAATACAGGGCTCATGGTTGCCCGGGCTTTGGCAGAGAGCCATTTCCACAGAGGTCAGAAGCCATTTGCTACTGACAGGAACAGTAACTGCAGCATTCAGTTCAGCATTTAGGGAGACTTCTGGTCTCCATGCCCACAACTGGTGCTTCCCAAAACAGCCCGAGCTCAACTGTAGAGATCTGGAAGGGACAAAAGCCCCAGGAAAGGGGACAATGAGCACTAGAGTGCCTTTATCACAAAACTGATGTCTCCTGGCACAGGATGCTGGGACCACACAGAGCCTTGCAGAGGGACAAAAATAATAGTAATCCCTTTGATCACTGGACACTGTTGAAGCCCCTTATTCCTACAATGCCAGGTCATTTAAGAGAGCCCATTCCAACTGTCCAGCCATGGATTTTCCTGCAGAAACAAGCTTTCCAACCCCTGTGGTTCTGGCCTCCTGGACTTAGTATCACCAAGCTTTCTAATGCAGTTTGGGATGAGCTAATTCTAAACCCATTTTGTCATTGTCTCTTCTCCATAAAGGTCTTTCTTGTGGGTAGCTCTGGGAGTAAAACAGGAAGCAAAAGTGCTCAGGAACTAAAAACTACCTGAGTAACCACAGGACTCCTGTGAGATGGAGTAGGGAGTTGTGATGTTACCAGCTTATGGTTTTTAGGACTGAAGCCCAGAGATGCCAGGTATCTGCCCAGCCAAATACCAGCAAGACTGCTGTTCTCCACCTGCCTATGAATGTACTGCTGGACAGAATCTATCTGGTGTCCTTTTCTGCCAAGAACACACTGGTCTGCGGCACCGTCAAAATACATCTTGGTTTATTGGCTCCAGAAACCCTTTGGTTCTGCCATAAGAAGTCCCACTGAGAAACATTTCTGAATTGTCTCAGTACACAAGTCTCCTCCATGATATCCATCACCCCTCTGTCCTCATCCCTGTAACTTATATTTTACTCTCAAATCATATGAATTTTAAATATAAACCATATCATATCACTGCACTTAGAACTTCCCAATGGCTTTTGATGCTTCTGGCATAGACATTCAATTTCTTATGACTGCCAAAAAGTGCCTATTGAATCCCCCCACTCCTGTAATCATGTCATCTTGACCACATTGGTCCACTTGAAATTCTAAGATACATGGAGTCTTGGGGATATTTCTCTGGCCATCCCTGTCCTGCGAAAGGCTTTCTCCAGCTAAACACTTAAGATTTTCAGTTAGCACCTTCATAAGTTGACATCAATTCCATGTTCTCGGTGACACAACTTCTGCGTGCTTCACTATCAATGACAAAGCAACTACTTCCAGTCCCTACAGTCAGAACATGTTCTACCTTTGCTTTAATTTGTCCCATCAGGAAAATGATACCGTTCACCCACGCTATTTGGTGTGAGGCTGGACTGTAAGTTGAGGGTGGCTATCTCTGTTCTTCCAGTCCTACAACAGCACCAGCTGTTAGCAGATGCTCAACACATTTGATGTTGGGTGAAAGAAAATATCTCCTATGTATGAAGACTGAATGAGATGTGTTGCACAATAGAAGGAGAAACCCACACTTGTTCTCAAGCTGAAAGTTGAGCAGAGAGGGATGCCCCCCTCAACAGTTGCCTGTTGTAAGTTAAAGGCATAACTACAAGTGCACACTGCTGTGAGCTCCTGAACCTGTGGACAGGAGAGGGCCTTGATTGGGAACCCTGTTTCTAATGGCAGCATGACCTTCTGCAAGAAGAGGACAAAGAGATGAACTGAAAGTTTTGCATAGCTTAGTCCGTGCTGGGTGGAGCCTTGGAAACAGCAGCAGGAACATAGGTTCTGAGTTTAGGATTGCTATGTGATTACTTGTGTGTGAGTAGAGGAAGATATTCTGTGACAGGAAGAGGCAGAGATGGATAATGAGCTTGACAGACAAAGACAGAGAGACTGAATGAATGATAGAACAGAGGGGAGGGGAGGCAGGGGGAAGAGAGAGAGGAGGAGGAAAGACAAGCATCCAGGAACCCCTGCAGGAGGCTATATATGGGCAGGGTGATGAGGACAGCCCCTCCCCTTCCCTCCCATGGAGCAATCTTCTAGAGTGTAGGTTTATGGCACAAACCCATATTGTACTATCAGGGAGTTTTCCATGGAATTTTCTGGGTAGAAAATGTAGTCATTGGAGTACACTATTGTGGGTGGTTGTAATCCAAGAGTTGCATTGAGAGAGAGAGATCCTAGAGACACCACAACTCAGGAGAGAAATTGATAGAGTTTTCCTACATGGGGAGGAGCAACTGGAATGGTGGGAAGAAGGGGCTAGATCTTCAGATTAGAATACAAGAGAAAACTCATGAAAATCACCTGAACTTCAATTTTCCTTTTCTTTGGTGGAAATTGTCAATCGAACATTGGGATTTTTCTCTGCATCATAATTCCCAATACCAAACATTTGCATGGCACTTAATATATACTAGGCACCATGCCACATGTTTTATCCAGACATCTCCATGTAAACCTCACTGTCATCATTATCCTCAGTACAGACAAATCAGAAGCATCAGGGAAAAATTAGAGGGGCTGCTATACAATGAGAGACATGGCCAGGATTTGGGCATGAGTAGGTTGGCACTAGACAGGGTTCTTTACTGCCCCCTTAACCACCACCACCACCACCGCCAAGCTTCCTCCTTCACCCATGGCTCTTTGTACATGGCTGCCTATGTGAGCAAGAAGGAGTGCCCTTGTGACCTTCCCTACTGGGATCAGGATTGTGGCAGATCTGACAGTATTCAGTACTAACATTCCTGGCTGGACAGGGGCAGCCTAAGAGCAGGAAATATTGGAGAGGGAAAATGAACCCCAAGGTGGCAGATGATGGGGTATATACTAAATACCCTTTGTTCCTAATATATTTTTCATGGGGAACAGGCACCTTCCAGCATACATCCCATATACACTCAGATGTCATGCAATAGCTGGCATGTTTTAAGGTCTCAAAAGCTAATTCCATTTCTCATTAGGTCCAGTTGGAACACATAGGACCACTGACATTCTGCCACTGCAACCCATTCAAATGGCAGAAACACACAGCTCAATGTACATTCATGCAAAGGTAGTATTCTACAATCTGGGTGAGGCAGCATGGATGATGACTTCACAGTGAAGTCCCAGAGCCTCATGCTACAACACCCGGCTCCAGGCACTCCTGAAACATTCATGGGATTTCACCACTTGTCATGGGTGTCCCGTAAGCCCTTGATGCTAAGCAATCACCTAGATTTTCTCATTAACTATATGAAGAGCCACTATGAGTTCATTGCATGGTTGAATGATGGACTGTCACATTGACTTCTAGGTGTGGGGTGGAAATGCAGGCTACCCACCTGGAATAACTTCAAAGACAAACTTCCCAGCTTCTTCGGGGTTTGTGGCCAGTTCTTTGACTGTGCTGCCTGGCAGATACATGCAGCCCTGGAAGATCAAAGGTTGTGCTTTTTTATGCAATCAATTTCTTACCTGGGAAGCAGTTACTTCAGGGAAATGAATGAGAAGCTAACAGCATAGTGAGGAGGACAAGCAGAGAGCCACATCACCTCTACCCTGGTCGCACACAATGCTTCATCATCGTGTTGGGCTCTCCCACATGGAAGCTCACCAGATCCTTACAGCTCCTGAGTGGCAAGGCCAGTGATCCCCACCACTCAGATGAGATTAGTTTGGGAGCTCAGTGACAGACAGGGCTGACTTCTCTAGACTTAGTTATCCCTAATTAGATACACATCACTGAGGTTGGACATCAGGTCCTCAGCTGTCATCTTTCTAAACTGTCTAAACACCAGCCAGCAGCAGTGAAAGTATAAATGGTCAGGAGCTTAAGACACTTCCAAGACAATGTCAGGGCCCCAGAAGAGCGAAGTTCACTGAGGCCTCAGAATAAAGATGCCAGAGAGCAAAAAGAAAGAAGAAGGAGGGAGGGGCTGGGCGGTGCTGGCGCATGCCTTTAGTCCCAGCACTCGGGAGGCAGAGGCAGGCAGATCTCTGTGAGTTGGAGGTCAGCCTGGTCTACAGAGCCACACAGAGAAATCCTGTCTTGAAAAATCAAAAAAGGAAAAGAAAAAGAAGGGGGAGGGGGAGGGAGGGAGGAGGGAGGAGAGGGAGGAGGAGGGAGGGAGGGGAGTGGGAGGAGGGAGGAAGATGGCAGGGAGGAGCAGAGAAGAAAAAGGAGGAAAAGCTTCCTGCCTATAAAGTGGAGCTCTGCAATCAATCCCTCTGCAGTGTTTGATGTTGTCACCTGCAGGCCCTCACTGTCTGGAGACCGCCTGTCTCCACCAAACAATCCTTATGTCACATGGCTGCTGTGCTAGTTTGAGTTAGTGCAGCTCCAGAGGAAAAAGCCATGTGGGTTTTTATTCAGGAAGGAAAGCCGCCAGGAAGGGAAGTCACTCTCAGAGGTATCTCTCTGAACTGTCACTTGATACCCCAAATCACCTCATCACAAAATTGTAAAGACAAAGTACTGGTGTTACTACATATATGTATAATCTGTTGAGCAACTGCCAGGTGCCAAACTCTGATTAGTGGAGCAGATTTTCATGAGAAAGCCCTCAAAGACTGTTCTCCTGACTGTAGAGGTAAGGGAACAAGGCTTTGAGAAGTTGATTAGCTCTCCTAAGACTACAAGTCACACTAAACAGGAAAAAAATGATGAACACTGGACAGCGAGAATCAGAATTCCAGGTCAGGACTTCCTAACCAGACTTATAGACCTAGCTCATGGAGGCGACAGTTCACGTTACTCACACAGAGCATCTACAGTGCCAGCAGACCCTCCCTCCCACTGTGCAGGAAGATTCATGAGCATCATAAACAAACAGGAGGTGACTAGAGGGATGCACGGGGGTGGGGGGAGGGGGACAATGAAAAGGGAGAAGGGCCCAAGCAGTTGTAGCTCCTGTCACTAACTGTGCCAGTTGGCCTGGATGGATTCCCAGTGAAGATGGGGCAGAGCCAGAGTGTGTGGCTCCTGCGAGCAGGGGAGACACATTCAAAAGCTGTGTGCCAGGTGCTAAGCACAGCCGTCACAAAAATGGACACCATATGAGCGCATGGTAAATGAGTTCATATTCAAAAGAATGATGCGGGGCTGGAGAGATGGCTCAGCGGTTAAGAGCGGGCACTTCTCTTCTAAAGGGCATGATTTTGGTTCCCAGCACAGTGACCCAAAACTTCAGCTCAGGGAATCTGAAACCTCAGGGGCCTCCTTGGACACCTGCACTTATACCCCACCCGCTTGCATAATCAAAAAGTAAGAAAAGAAAATGACAGTGTTTCCCCAAACTTGCTATTTCTCTTTCTTTCTCTTATGCCTATGCTGTGATGTATCCCTGTGTAGCAATTTTATGTAATGCTGCACTATTGCAAATCTCAGCTCTGTGTTCGGTGACATCATATGGTACTTTGGGGTTTTTTTGGTTTGTTTTTATTTTTATTTTATATATATGGGTGTTTTCCTGAATGTATAGCTGCGTACCACATTCAAACCTGGTGCTTGTGGAAGCATAAGAGGGGTTGAAGTTACAGACAGATGTGAGCCACAAAATGTGTTCTGGGAATCGAACACTGGAAGATAGCCAGTGCTCTTCACTGCTGGGCCCTCTCTCCAGCCCTCATGTGGTACTTTAATCAATCATGAAATGAATATTTACACCACAGAAATTAGCAAATTCTACAGAAAACTTGCCACCAGAGAGTCTGTAGTTAAACATTTACTAGCACACTACTGTCAGGCCTGACAGGTTAAATTCCTGCACTTTGACATTTAGAACAAAGGTTTTCTTAATGTAAGGGCATCACACACCTCAACCAGCTGTGCACAGTTCGTGTTCCCTCGCTTCACCTGCTACCATCTAGAACACTTTTCCTACATTGGCAAGAGGACATGGTGGATTGTCCCCTTGTATAATATTGATCACTATTGAGATCAAAGTTTTAATAGATGTTTATTGGGCATTGCATTTCTTTAGCAAATTTGATCTTTTTTTTTTCTATTGATGTGTTTGAGTTTTTCTTACACTTTTGGAAGAATACTTTAAATATTAAAAACATTTGTTTACTAAATATACACATAGAATTTCCCATTGATTAAAGTTTTCTTATCTTGCTGGATTTAGGCAAATATTTCTTGATGGGAATTGTGAATAATTTTTTATTTGTGTTTTTCTGATGGTCTAAATTTCCTACCATGCACAAGTACGGTTTTGATAATCAAATATGCAAAGTGACACACATAAAATATATCCTTTATAAGCAATAGCCACTTTATCCCTACAATTTGTATTTTTAGACTTGAAATGAGTGTGTTGTTTTATCAGCTTTTTTTTTTTTTTTACAGCTACTTGGTAGGGGTTGTGCCATTTCCTCACTTGGCCTCTTGGTCTGATTACTATATTCACAGATTTCATAATAAACTGTCCTTGCGGACTTAGAAAACAATTGCCTACTCATCTCCGGTCAATTTAATTATGAGAAACCATGAAATGAGCTACTCACACGGGAAGAAGCCAGGACTCAGCGCGGCTATTGTAACCATGTCACTAGTTTGTTTTTACGAAGCAGGTTTTCATGTGTGCTTTATATTATTAGATCATGTGACAAATACAGGCCACACAGCATTGCCTCTTTTTAAACAAGAAAGGACATCCAGAAAAGGTACAGATAAGTGCAGTGCCCGGAAAAGAGCTCCGCACTCCGCGGGAGGCACCACCCCCTTTCCACATTTCATCAAGACAGCGTCTACCCAGAGGCCCTTTCGGTGGGCTTGGGGTGGCCGAAGCCCATTGCCTCCCAGAGGGTTCTCACATCGCTCTGATGCACCAGCCACCGCGATCTTGTCCTGCGTTTGCTAGACTTGATAGAGTCTGTGTTGTTCATAAAGAACAGGAAGTCCGGTCACCACACACAGATGTCCGAAAAAGCCTGGCGAGGTGGAGTCCCGGTGTCAGTTTCTTTTTGGCCCCATACATCTGCTTGTCTGTTCACCTACTTAGCCACCCCCATCTCCATATATGTCTTATCTTTGCCTTCCTAATTTTTGTAGTATTTTCTCTAATAAGTTCTAGTAAAGCCCCTCACCCTGCTTCCATCATCACAGACATAAACCCTGCGTGGGTTTGCAGCAGTCTTGGGTGCTAGAGACCTCTGTTTATACTCAGGATCACATAGTCCTAGCTGATGGTGGCTTGTCACACTCTCACTCCCCACTGTGAGCATCAGAATAGAGGGGATACAGACCTGAGACTGAGGGTCAAGGCTGTCTTGAAGACATAGTGCACCCTCAGTTGCCCTCAGATACCCTGAAGCTGACCACTGACCTGCAGCCCACAGCTCTCTCCTAGCACTATTACCACTCTCCGTGGTAACCTGTGCTACAACTCAAACTCCAGCCCTGCCGAGGCTTGCCAAGACACTCGGTGTGAACGGCAAGTCTTTGCAGTGACACTCACAACCTGCCCCTAAACCTACAGCCCTGTCCTCACTTCTCTGACCCCTCTGGTCCTCAGCACTGGTTCTGTTCCTGCCACCCAGACTCCTGATGCTTCCTACCCCGGTCACACATGCTCCTCTAGTCTGTGTGTGGCCGTCCCCTTGCCCAGGAGGCTCCTATCCCCAGAGATCCGCCTAGAAACCCCCTCTCCCTGGCATTGCCACCACCTACATGAAGTCAGTGTGCTTCTCTTTCCTCCAAACCTCATCTTCTCTCCAACAGCTCCATGCCTCCCTTATGTATCTATTAGGATTATTTTCTGCTCCATTCCCTGCATATTTCCCCTGCTTTATTCACTAATTTACTTCATGTGTCTACAATGGTAACAGGTGTGGGAATATTTATGCATGACTGTATTAGGCATTAAATACAATAACTGTTCAATAATATGTATTGAATAACAACAACTAGAGCCCCCACATCAGTTCCCCCAGATACCATGATTGGTTGCCATCTCAGTGTCTCCATTACAGTGTGAGACTGGACTTGGGGTGCCCTAGGAACCCTGCTGTGCTAGCGGGACCATCTCTGTCACCGTCACACTCAAGACATAGAGAGAAAATCTATGACAAGACAGAAGTGTCTGGCCCCACTGAGGAGGCTGATAGCAGTAAAAGCAGCCAGTGGACCCCTGCCCAGCTCCTCTGGGCCTGAAGTGAGGACACACCAAGCAGGTACCTGTGGCTTTGAGTCCTCTTCATCCTTGTAGTAGTAGAGGTGCTGAGCTCTCAGCACAAAGTACCGCTGTTGCCAGTTTTTCACGATGGACCTCTGTTTCTTCAGCCAGCCCATCTTAATTGGCCTTTCCAGGGGGTTGGGGGAGGCTGGTGGGTGAAAGGCCGCCATCTGCTCCCCAGTCATCACACTCCTTGACCGAGCTATAGAGAGGAAGAGACGAGCAGGCTGACTGAAGGGACATGAAGCAGGGAGTCAAGAGCAGGGTGGGTGGGGGTGCTGAGAGGAAGCCCTGTTGTTCCCCACACCCCAGAGAGAAGCTGGGGCCTTTCCCCTGAAAAGAAACCAAACCAACCAGTGCCTGCAGTCCAGCTGCCTCCGGCCTTGCGAGCTGCAAAGCGGAGATTGGCTGGGGCCTCTGAAGAGGAAGTGGCCACAGCATCTGACAGAAGGTGCTTCCTTTTCCTGCGTGGGAGTATCTGACAGAGGACAAAATAATTCCCTGCTCTGTCTCCAGAGTAAGGCCCACACAGCTGCACAGACCACCAGAAGCTGCCTGCTTTTCCTCCACGGCCCTTCTGAGGAGACAGCCTCTAGCTTGGACCCCACTGCCCACACTGTCTCTCCAACAGACTGTATCCCCATGCCAGCCCCCAAGGACTTGGCACCTCCTGAAATTTCTGGCCAAGAGTCATCATGTGCCCTCCGGTCCCCCACCCACTGTGTTTACATCACTTTGCTGGGCCAGGGTCTTTGGTTACTACCTTGGTCTTAAGCTTCTGGTCAGATTGTCACCACTAACAGAAGCGGAAGTGGGACATAAAGCCAGACCCCTCTGCCCACACTGCATGCTATCATTGGCTTTTGGCTTCCTACAGAGTTCTGCCTGTCATTTGATCAGGTCCTGACCTGTGCCTCCATGATGCCTCCCACCCAGATTAACTATATCACCTTCCTTTCTTCCAAAGCAACCCACTCACCCTGCGGGCTTCCTCCCAACCCTTTCTTCTAGCACCTGCCCCTTTTCTTCTCTAGCCAACCCAGCGGTGACCTTACAATCAGCAACTGCTCCTTGGAGCCTCGTGCTTGTACTGTCGTTCTGGACTTGCCACACCGGGGTCTGTGCTGGGCCCTGCTGCTGAAGCACGTCTCTAGCTCATTTCCCCTTCAGTTAGCTCTGGTCAATCCCTGAGACATCACTAGTATGGCTGAATTATCAAGTCTATTCTCAGCTCTTTCCCTTACCTGACTAGAGAATTGTCCTTCCTCTCCTTGCTTTTAACTGAGATCTCTTCAAGCTCCTTTGTCCATACTAGTTAAACTGGGTTGTTCATAGTTCTTACAATGTAGAACTGTGAAGATTAAACAAACAATGCACAGAAACCACTTATCATACTTTTAGGTAAGCATTTGTCACTCTTATTTTCTGTCATTGGTAGCTACATCTAGCTATAAGGATAGAGGTTGTCTTTAAGAGCATCCTCAGTTACTCTCTCACTTCAAGCTTAAACCTCCTGATTTCACTCAATCCTGTCTGTAGTGCGTTTAACTGCCAACTTCTCCCTGCTGCAGCTGATTCCTGCTCACCTGTCTCCACCTAGTTCCATGGTTCTCAGCCTTTATTCACATTCGAGGCATCCTTCTAAACACCAGAACTTTACACAGAACAGCGGTACCAAAAGTTGTCACCTAAATAATGCAGAGTGCCGCTGGGCTAAGTGCACAGGACTGCCCCCCTTCAACTCTGCATCACTCTGTGCTCCCAGAAGACACTTGAGTTGCACCTCCATCCCTTTACTCCCACTAGGGAACTGGAGGAGTCACACACATGTGTGATTGAGCCTTCCACTGGAAAGTCGTCAACATGGGAGAGCATACAACTTTTCAGCTTGATGCCCATTTGGTTTGTAAGGGGATTGCTTTGTATCAGTGTGCCTTGACACCCTAACAAAAAAGAAAATCTTTACTTCCAACCTTTCTTCCTAGCTATTTACTTATTCCCAGAGTCTTTCTTTGGAGCTGGTCAGAAGAGCCACCAGGGTGATAGATGAGGAGTGGGATCTGTCTTTGGAGCAATGAGAAGGATGGACCTGAGTAAAAGACTGGAGACTCTGTGCAGCACTGTGTCTTTCTGTGTAGGAGTGCATCTAGAGAAGACTGATCTATACCGGGAAGAAGGCACACGGGGACAAAAGCAAAAGTGTCATTCACACACAAACCTTTTGAAGAGGATGGAAGAGTGAGGCAATGGGCATTCTCTCCTGTTGTAATGGCCTCAGTGTGAGCCCATTCCAGTGCAACTCTTATGGCCGGCCATCTAAAGCAACATCAGATATGGAAAGGGACCTCTTTATTGCAGTAGAGCAATGAGGAGCCTCTATAGGACCAAATGGAACCAACACAGAAAGGGAAGAAATCAGGCAAAGGCCACGTGGTGTCTGTGAGGATGTAGGTCTCTTGAGCCACTCCCAGAACCCCACAGACTTTATTAGGATCACTTCTAGAGTCAAGAGAAGTGGATGATCTCAGAAGCATCCAGAAATGGGACAGGGATCCAAAGAAACCAGAAAGGCGCTTTAGATTGGAGGGTTTGATTAACATGGAACCCAGTAGCTAGGATATTCTTTTATACTTTGTTCTGGGGGAATTTCATGATTCTTTAGGGTTAAAAACAATAACAAGCTCAAAATGATCACCCCTAAAAACATCTCTGCCCTGAAGAATGGCCATGGAAAGGCAGGAGGATCTGGTATTCTTAAATATGGCCGAAAGAAGGCATGATAGCCATGAGACATAAAGACAGCACACCAAGACCTGGTGCAGAACGATACCTCTCACCATATATCCAGTCAGTACTCCCTGAGTGTTTGCTGTCATCCCACCATCCCTGACACAATCATAAGTCCAGGGTCACTCTTATAAGTTAGAGCATGTGGAGTGATCTGCACACATTCTACACAGCTGGAAAGCGATCTGAGTACTCAGGGGGCAGTGGCAGCTAGGGGCACAGTGAGCTACCAACTGAGCAGAGGAGCTTCCTGCCCTATCTTAGCCTCCAGTCCTTGTCTTCAGGCAGGCCTCTTGTGGACGATACAAGTATGAGAGGAGCACCCTGATGGATCTTGGCTCTGACTAACATTCTTTGTTACTTCTTTGTAGGTGATCTGCTACTGTCAATGGTTAATTCCTTATAATGAGCATGGTCATGGTGACAAGCTTTGCTGTGAGCTGGTCTTCACACCCAAGGCTAAGTGTTCCCCTCAGGGAAGAGGTATGATCTAGGTAGGTATGGGCTTCAGAGCAGCCTCCAGGGAACAAGAGAAGGAGAGTGAGTTCACAGATCCTCAGTGTGTGTAGAATTCCCTTAAAGAGCAGCATGATAGTTTTAATGAGGCCGGAAATCTACCCTTATTCTAGTAGAGACCAGAAGACCAAGCCCCTAGCTAGCACTGTGCTAGACAAAGCAGCAGTCACTGTAACTGGCTATAGGCAGTTAAATGAGATAGGACAAATAGAATTAAGTAAAAGTACGTTTTCATCAGCCATATTTCAAGTACTCAGTAGTCGATGAACTAGCGGGCCCAGACAAGTGGCCTTAGGTGTAGAGTGAGGCTACAACCTTGTTCTGAAATGGAAAGGGGATCCATTTCATGTTACTGATCAAGGGGGGAGGGACCATTAAAAAAAACATAACTATAATCTGCAATTCAATTGTCCATGCTGAATTTTAATATGCAGTGAGAGAAGAGAAATAGAAGATGCACTGTGTACCCAGGTTCTTATTTCTGCACTGAAGTTAACTTGTTTCTGCCCCAAGCTGGAACAAGAGAAAATTAAAGAAGGAAGTATGAGCAGAGAAGTCGCCTCGGAGACACTGTCACTTCCTCTTCATCTCCAATCTGCTGACCCACTGACCTGAAAAATAACCACAAACTTTCCTAGGGCCCACCTTTGAAGTATCTCTATCATGTGCTCTCCAGTTGCCCTGGTCAAGGCTCTGCTTTTGGGGGCCTGTCTGTGGGTGTGGGAGGAGGTTCACCAGGATTGAATGCTGGGAGGGCCAGTCTTCGTTTTCTCACAGTGATCTGTACATCACCCTGGAAACCTGTCTAGATGAGCTAGAAAGGGGAGGAGAACTCCAGTCTGCTCTATTGAGTTGCAAACCCATCACCTGGCTGTTCATCTTACTGTTAGTCAAACTCACCACCCCCCCACACACACACACACCATCTACAATTCCTGTCTTGTATTCACAACATACTCCAGCTTGCCTGCCTTCTCTGGCCTCTATAACTGACATCCTAGGACTATCTCTATGACCAACCCAATAGGCTACGGCTCCTGCACTCAGCACTGACTAGATTGCTGATGCTGTGACCATTCTTAGGCACAGACTGTGTTTGTCTCCTGACTACAAATCTCCCAGGAACACCGGCACCTCTTCTAGAAGATCAAGTGTAAACACCTGCCTGTGAGCCTGGGGTCCTTGTGGCTTTCTACACATTTTCTGCTCTTCCTACCATCCAAACTTCATGGGTTCCCTCTTAGGAAGTTATTGCCCACCCTTTGAGACTCACATCAGGCCATGCCTCCATGACCCAACAGCTAAACTTAGCAGTTTTCTAGCCCTGACCCCTCTTCACCAGGAGCACATATGTAGTGCAGCAATTGTTACCTCACTTGGTAGTGTTTTTATTCTGTCTCCATCTCTACTAGCAGTGTAAGAGCACAAGGATGCTGCTTCTATGCTCACCCTGTATTCTGGCTCCCAGTGAAGAGCAGGCAGGAAGAAGTATAGAGGTACACAGACTTCTGTAACAGTAACATGGCTGAGTCTCAGTCTACTCTACAGCATGTTTCTTGTGAGACTTTAAGTGTCAGGGGCACTCTATGGGTAATTAACCCACAAGAGTCAACAATGATAATGGATGTCTCTCAGCTAGCACTGAGAATTGACTAGCACTTGGGACACAGAAGCAGGCAGATGTCTGTGACTTTGAGAAAACCAACCAACCAAACAAACAAACAAACAAAATAACAAACCAAGAACTAAAAAGAAGCTAGTGTTGTGAACATGATTATTCTAAATATGTAATTGATTTAATATCAAATGAGGTGACAGACTGAGAAGAGTAAAGGGTAAGAGGGGAGAGAGGTGAAAGCGGAGGGCCAGCAGGACACCACACAGGGTCCCGGGATGAGA